CAACTTGCACTACAAAGATAGGTCCACCCAATAAAGTTACACGTCCTAGCACAGTTAAAAAACACAAAACTCCTTCTTCACATAAACACACCACGTTATCACAACCCACTCGTATTCAACCGAAACGCGAAAACCTTAACAGAACTACACGCTCACAACATACTGTAATATCTCCACCAAAAACCCAAGCAACCACACAAATAAAACCTCAAGAACAAAGAAACACCATAAATACAAGTAACGCAACATGCACTACAAAGACAGGTCCACCCAATAAAGTTACACGTCCTAGCACAGTTAAAAAACGCAATACTCCTTCTTCTCAGAAACAACCCACTCGTATACAACCCAAACGCAAAAACCTTGACAGCACTACTAGCTCACAAAATACTGCAATATCTCCACCAAAAACCCAAGCAACCACACAAATACAACCTCAAGAACAAAAAAACACCACAAATACAAGTAACACAACTTGCACTACAAAGACAGGTCCACCCAATAAAGTTACACGTCCTAGCACAATTAAAAAACACATAACTCCTTCTTCACAGAAACACACCACATTATCACAACCAACTCGGATTCAACCGAAACGTGAAAACCTTAACAGAACTACATGCTCACAACATACTGTAATACCCCCACCAAAAACCCAAGCAACCACACAAATACAACCTCAAGAACAAAGAAACACCACAAATACAAGTAACACAACTTGCACTATAAAAACAGGTCCACCCAATAAAGTTACACGCCCTAGCACACTTAAAAAACACATAACTCCTTCTTCACAGAAACACACCACATTGTCACAACCCACTCGTATACAACCGAAGCGCAAAAACCTTAACAGCACCACAGGCTCACAAAATACTGCAATATCTCCACCAAAAACCCAAACAACCTCACAAATACGACCTCAGGAACAAAGAAACACCATAAATACAATTAAAAAACACAAAACTCCTTCTTCACATAAACACACCACGTTATCACAACCCACTCGTATTCAACCCAAACGCAAAGCCAAAGAAACACTTACACAATAAACTCTATTTAATAAAATTACAGGAATTATTATAATGATATTTTTGTTTTGTTTTCTTCTTTCCTGATAGCGTTGACTAGTGGGGCCATTAATAGCTATGTTGGTAAGTATGAATTACATACTATCTCTAGATTTCCAATGTGAGTGTGTGAATATTTATTTTATTTTTATTTTTTATTTTTCTTTAGAACCCTACATAACTTCACACAGACACAGACACTAATCGTTACTTGATTTTAATCCGTGCGATTAGTTAACCAGGCTAGACCTGAGTTCTCACAAGAAACACCGACAATAATAATAATAATAATGTTTATTTCCAATGAACATCATATAGTACAAAAGGAAAAAGAAAAAGTACATTCAGATTGGAAAAAGGACCACATTCAGTGCGATATACACTGCTCTTCCATGTGGCCCTATATCATGAGATATGAACTTGAACTAAACATGGTATATGGACAAATACATTAACACTCACACGCAAATCACTCCTCAGAACTTCCTAAACCAAAAATTTATGTTCAATACAGAAGCCCCTTAAGCCACAATAGAGAGTTGATCATCTAACAAAAGGAACTTTACTTGTCTTTTAAACGTAGTTATACTTAAACTACGTAGAGTTGGTGACAATTTATTAAAGATGTTTGCAACATTATAAGAAAACGATTTCTTAAAGAATTCGGTAGTATGCTTTGGAATCTCTAAAAGGCCCCTATGCCGAAGATTTAAGTTAAGTACATCTGTACGATAGGTTAAACGTTGTGCAAGGTAGGAAGGGGTTAGAGTATTTATTACTTTGTGATATAGGACCACAGCATGAAGAAATCTCCTTTCCATCATATTTAGCCACCCAGCTTCCCTCACTTTATGAGATATGTGATCTCTACGTTTGATACCATATATGAACCGCAAACACGCATTTTGTACCCTTTGTATTCTAGTTTTCGTCGACGAGTCGATACAAGCCCCATATACAACATCGCAGTAATTAAAAAGTGATAAAATAAGGCTATCAGAAAGATGAATTTTTGTTTTGACATTCAAAATGTTCCTGTTTGGGTATAATCTCTTAAGTATTGAGTACGCCTTACGGGTACAAGAATTTACATGGTCAGTAAATTTCAAATTATAGTCAAATCGAAGTCCCAAATTCTTTGCTACGTTTTGTACGCTCAGTTGATTGTCACCAATTTTTATGGCAATGAAGGATCTTACTTTTAACCTAAGTTGCTCACGTCCAAAAAGTATCACCGAAGACTTATTTGGATTTATATTTAAATTATGTTCGGAAGCAGTATTAACGACTACATTTAACTCCTTGTTAATTAATTCGACGGCTGCATGAACTTCATTTGGTTTGAAAGAATAGTAAATTTGTGTGTCATCGGCGTATTGATGATATCTACATTTAATGAGACCATTACAGATATAATTTGAGTAGAGTACATATAAGAGCGGTCCTAAGATAGATCCCTGTGGGACCCCTTGGGTAATGGTGGTAATTGGAGACTTCACATTACTTACAATGACCCGTTGTGTCCGATTCGTGAGGTAGGAGTTGATAAGTTCCATTGCCGCCAAGTCAAAGCCGTAGTGAACAAGGATTCGCATTAATAGTATATGATGAATAGTATCGAAAGCTTTTGAAAAATCTAGCATCACCATAACTGTCACCAGGCTTTGATCGGTAGCTTGTATTATATCGTTTGTTACACTAAGGAGTGCTGTGGCGCAGCTATAGTTTTTCCTAAAGCCCGATTGAAATTCTGATATTAGTTTATATCTCTCAAAATATTCATACATTTGAATTTTCATGATCTTTTCCAACACTTTAGATAATGTAGGAAGTATGGAGATTGGTCGTAAATCTTTGAACTCCTTGGGGTTGTTATTTTTCGCAATGGGTGTAACGTGAGCCAGTTTCCAGTTGGATGGAAAGGTAGATGAAATGAAACAATGATTAATGATGTGGGTGATGTATGGCACTATAAAAGGACAGCAAAGATTAATCATGTCAATGCCAATGCCATCAGAACCAATAGACTTAAGGATCTCGCTCATTATACCAACACAACACAACACAGCACGTCACGTCAAATGTCGGTGAAGATAAAATGCATTAGGTTAAATAAGGATCCGCTCACTTGTCCAACACGACACGACACAGCGTCGGCCGATGTTGGTCGGATCTTCATCGCACAACCCTGACCGACAAATGTCGATGCGTGTTGTGTTGTGTTGGTGAAGTGTGCGGAGGTAAACCGTCAAGAATGTCTTTAGCATGCGCAAAAGTAATCAGCTGTTTAAGTTTAGTCATTGAAAAAAAATATTATTTAGTGGACTTCAGCTTCTTAGCGAAATGGACGAAGAACTATTAATCAATCTCGTTGAAAAATACAGTGAATTATACGATGTAAACGATTCAAAATATCATGATCAAGCAAGGAAGGAGAACATTTGGGAGGAGATTGCTGCAGAAATGCAAAAACCAGGTTAGTTTTTAGTTTTATTCAATCTCGTAATCTTTCAAGTAAAGTATACAATATATTTAATTTATGTAACATTTCTTTTTCCTCTGCGCACCATTTCAGTTTGCCACGATACCGAACCATTTGGTGAATTAAAATAATTTTTGAATGAGTCTCTGACGCCCATTGCATTTGTTGTGGACGCTCCCCCTATTCCTGGAATATTTTCGATGCCTTCTGGACGTACAATAGTTTCATGTTGTTCTTCAGTCCAATGACAAGTGTCATTTCGCAAAAAATTATGTAAGCAACATGTTGCTAAAATCACTTTATCTAACTTATCTGGGTCTATTTGTAAATGACGTTGATAAATCCTAAATCTCTTGACTAAAATACCGAAAGCGTTTTCAGAGACGCGTCGAGCTCTACTAAGTCTGTAATTGTATATTTTCACTTCTTCATTGTTTAGACACTGCCGACCTGGATACGGGCGCATTAAATTGTTATGAAGAGGGAACGCTTCGTCTCCTACAAAAACGTGTGGAAGACGTAAATTGCATCCGGGTAAGGTCTTAGGTTCTGGAATGTCTAAAGCATTGCTTAATATTTTTTTACCAATTGTGGAATTAGCAAACACTCCTCCATCACTGCTTCGTCCATACGCACCTACATCAACTGCAGTAAATCTGCAATGCGCATCAACAAATGCAAGCAGAATTACACTAAATGATTTCTTATAATTGAAATATAAAGATCCACTATTGGGTGGTTTATCAGTGATGACGTGTTTGCCATCGATTGCAGCTAAACAATTAGGGAAGTTCCACAACGATTCCAGAGACGTACTACGTTGTAATAATTCTGATATCGAGGACTGGAGGTCGAAGTAAAATTTATGTTATCTTTACTGTAGTACTAAAAACGGTTCTTAGGCAATTGGCTATGCTGAACGAGGAGGTTGTGCAGAACAGTATGCTGGTGAGAGAACTGATTGCGTTAACAAAAAATTTAAATGTTCAAAATTTGGTTCCTCCTCAATGTAAATACATTTTTTGATAATCTTGAGGATGTATTAAAACGCCATAAAAATTTCTGTGATGGTACACGAATTTACAATTTAGATCAGACTTCTACTATCCATATAGCATAACTTCCCATGGACGTATTTAGAACGTCCAGTCGTGGACATTAGTACGTTCTTTGAACATCCACTTGAAGTACAGTGGATGTAACATGAACGTCCGCAGGATGTTACTTTGGCACAAAAGTGGACATCCAAAATATGTCCATACCCAACATCGCCCGGACGTTTTTTAATGGACGTCCATTTAATGTACCTACTGTGCATATTGAGTCACACAATAATGAAAATTTTTTCTGTAATTCATTTACTAAATTAACTAAAACAAAATTCTACAGAAACATGTCAGATTGATAAAAGAATTACATTTATGGCCATATTACACGGTCACGTTAATTTTGTTTTCATTCTTTGCCCTTTTATTACATCGCCTCAACCATTTTTGTATTGCAATTTCTGCGTCCTTGATTGTACATCCCTTAGTTTTGATTGCCGCATCTAAAAAATCAGACAATTAAATTGGTTGTAAATCGAAATCGGTTATTACTTATTAATAATGATGATAACGACAAATCTTTAAAAACACGTTTTCCTTTCCTGCCCAACCAACTGAAATTTGAAGAAAATTTGTTTGAAATGATTTTTTGTGTCGCTCGGAAGATAAAATCGTAGGTATTGCGGCCACCCAAAGCAGCAATTTCTAAAATCTGAAACACAATATATTTTTCCTTTCTGCTTACTTATACTACACACCGCTTTATTAAAATCTTCCATATTTCGTAGTTTATATCTAATAAAAATTGACTCCACTTCTACAAGATCATCAACATCTCTTCTATTGCTTTTGATTTCTGCAACCTCCTGTTGTAATTGTGAAACCATACCTTGCAATATGTTTTGCTCATGTCTTGATGCGTATCAGTTTTGTATGTTCGTCACCATCATATGTCCTTTGTTTTTATATTACACCCTTGTGTCACATACCTATATTATAAGTGTAAGCGTAAGCTAAATTATTATTATTATTTTATGTAAATCAAAATTTTAATGTGTAGTGTACGTCCATATTTATATTTATTGAAAATGTGTAGTTATATCTCGAATGTTGCTGTTTTATATTTACGTTATTTACATTGTGCATTATTGACATGTCAAAGCCACATTTGGTACTCTGACAATAAATGATTTGATTTGATTTGCTTTTTTAAAATTAGTATCCTACAATAAATATTATTAAAAAGTAAAGTAAAAAGTTAAACAAGGTTCAGTTACATTACCAATTACCTACTTCACCTTCGACACCTTTTTACTACTATCAACTAGTATTTTTGGTCCTACTGCTAAAACAGGAGGATCTTAAACAAACGCAAATGTGATTTATTCTTCTTTGGCGGTTGCGTTTGTGCTCTTTTTATTGTGTTTTCTTATATCTAATTTATTAACAACAGAACATTTACATATATACAGGGAATACTAATCGTCGCCGAAGAGTCGTCTCATGGTGGCTTTCCGGTGGCGGTCGCGGATGATGAAACGGCGGGGGTCGTCCACGGAGATGGTGGCCGGATCGATTCCGTGGTACGTTGCAGGCTGCTGGCAGGAGCGTAGTTTCCAGGCAGGCGGTGCCTTGGTCGGGCTCGGCGGCAACGGCGATACCGGGATCGGCAGAGGTGAGCGACGTAGAAAGCGCCGTAGAGCGTTGCGGCGAGAACGCTTTTCCTTCCGCGGGGTTGTAGGCGGCATCAATGCTGCGGAGAGGGGACTTGATTATGTTTCCCGGGCTATGATGAGCGCCGGTTGTGCAGGCTATGAGGAGCGCTGCTTCGCTGGCTATGGTAAACGCAGCGGTGAGATCGCTGCTATGAGGAACGAGCGAATCTGATTCTACCCTTCGTTTGGTGAGCTGGATGGCCGCAGGCCATCCATATTTCAGCAGCCCTAGCTATTTAGCTTTTACTGCTTGCTGGTTAGTTGTTCATGTCGTCTTGTTTCCTCTTTTGTTGTTTCTGAGGGTGTGCGTGTTGCTCTTGGAGCGATGTCCTATTTCCATCTCTGTTCCACCAGTGAGGATTGTTAGGCAAGGGTTCCAACGGGCTGCGTCACCTCTTGCTGACGCGGTTGGTGGAAACTAGAGTGGTTGAGGATTATTCGTTTTCCTGCAGCACCCTCCTTGGCCGCTTCTTTTGCTCCTGTGTACCAGCCACGGGAGCGATGTCTCTGATGTGCTGGAGGTCGGAGTTGTCCATTCGTTGGTATACTTTTTCGGCCAGCGATCGAGTGTGTTCGGCGAGGGTGTCCATTTGCAGGTCCTGCCTGATGGTGGTGTTCGAAACGAAGTAGGGGGCTCTGGTAATCGCGCGCAGCGCGGTGGATTGTACCGCTTCCAGTGCGGTGGAGTTGGACTTCGAAACATACGCCTTCCAGCCTGCAGAGGCGTATGTCAGCACGGGGCGAACGTAGCTCTTGACCAGGTGTACCTTCGTTGTTGGCGCCAGCGCTGGTGATGATAGTAGGGGGTACAACCTGGATCTTGCCCTCCGTCCTTTGGCGATCGTGTCTGCTGCGTGTTGCGTGAAATTTAGTCGCCGGTCGATTAGGACTCCGAGGTACCGGATGGTGCCCGCCCATTCCAGTCTCTCTCCGTTCATCCTTAGCTTCGTGAACTCGGTCGTTCGGCGACCGGTAAACATTATGGCCTGGGTCTTGGAGGGGTTTAGTCTAAGCCGCCAGCGGCCTGTCCAACGTAGCGTTTGGTCAATGGCCGTCTGAACTCGTCTCGTTGCCGTGTCCGGGAGTCTTGAACTCGAGAAGACGAGGAGATCGTCCGCATATAGGGCGATGTTGACGTTGGGGGCTTGGGGGATGTCGTTCACGTACATGTTGAACAGTGCTGGCGATAGGCATCCTCCTTGTGGCACTCCCGCGGCGGCAGGCGTCTCTTCCGACAGCTGGTCTTCTATTTTGACCCGGAAGGTTCGGTTCGAAAGGTAGCTGTGGAGAAGCCTGGTGAACGAGGCGGGTATGTTTTGGGTTCGGTGCATCTTGACGAGCAGGCCTGTCGTCCACACTTTGTCGAATGCCTTTTCGTTATCGAACGACGCGGCCACTGTGACTTGACCTCTGTTGTAGGCTTCAGCGACGGCGTCTACCAAGCGGATGATTTGCAACGTTGTCGAGTGCTCTCTGCGAAACCCGAACTGTTCGGGCCTTATGTTTGGTTGCAATTTGGCCAGCAGTACTCTCTCGAAAATCTTCCCCAGGGCCGGTAGGAGGGATATGGGTCGATAGCTCTGGGGTTCGGCTAGATCTTTCCCGGGCTTCGGTAGCATTATCACAATCGCCTTCTTCCAGCTTGTTGGGAAGTGTCCTAACGCTATCGCGGCGTTAAACACTCTCGTGATGTAGGCGAGCGTTGGGCGTGTGATGTTCTGTAGGGCTCTATATGTTATGCCGTCGGCTCCGGGCGCTTTTCGAGGTCTTTGTTTGAGGATGATGGTGCGGACTTCCGTCGGAGGTACGAACGCAAGTTCGTTTTCCGCGCGGGCGGCGAGGAGTCCTTCGAGCTCTTCTTCCACTTGTCTGTTGTGTTCTTCGTCCTCGACGGGGAACGGGGTGAAGTTCGCTCGAAGGGTTTCGGCGAAGATCTCTGCCTTTTCCTTTGCGTCGTAACGGTGTCCGTTGGGGCCCTTCAGGGGGTACGCCGGCGGTTTTCTGGAGGTAAGCGCACGACCGATTTGGAAGACGTTTCCGCATCGGGTCATGGTTTCCTCGACGTGCTCGTTCCAGGATTTGTTGTTGAAGTCCTGGATGGCACTTTTGAGGGCGGCTTGTTTGGCATTGACCTGTCTCTTTATGTTAGGGTCTCGGGTGAGTTGCCATCGCCGAACGAGCCTCCTTTTCTCTCTAATCTCCTCCTTGAGATACTGAGGGAGCTGATTCGCCTTCTTGGCCGGGACTTGTTTGGTGGCCGCGGCCAGCGCCTGTTGAAGTTTGGTCGTCAGGATCTGCACTTTTTCGTCTAGGTCGGCCGGGGTGCGGATGTCGGGGTTCCCGGACGGTATGCTTCTCTGGAGATGTTCGTTAAACTTCTTCCAGTTGGTGATCTTCCTGGTGTTCGGGGGTATGGTGACGGACGGCTTCGTGTGAAGGGTCATGACGATGGGAAGGTGATCGGAACTCCAGTCCTGGACGATGTCGAACTCGTACGGGTACGGAATCGCCTGCAATACCGTTACGTCGAGTACGTCTGGTTGGTGTGCGGGGTCGCCCGGTATGTGTGTTGGATGATCGGGAGCGATGATTTCGTACCCCTTCCTTTCGGAATGGGCGTAAAGCGATCGTCCGGAGGTATTGGTCGTGGTGGAGCCCCAGCTGGGATGCTTAGAGTTTAGATCTCCGGCAAGGATGGTATGGTCCGCGAGTGCCATGACGTCGTCCAGGTCTTGCAGGACGATGTTGTTGCGCGGACTGCGGTAGACCACTACGACGTTGCCGGTAAGGTCGCCCAGCTTTGTTTCGATGCCGGTGGCCTCGAGTGAGTTGGTAGGTAGGTCGATCGGCCTGTGCACCACTCGTCGGTGAACTATCATAGTAGGGGAGCTAGCACGAAATCCACTGAACGAGAATGATCAAAATTTTAACCGATGGAGTTCCATTTTGCCCTATCAGAGTATGCCAAAAACGATCGTCTGCCGCCTCAGGTCATACGACTTAAGGCGCTGCGGGTACTTCTTGTGGTACCAATTCTGAAAGGTTGTTTTTCGAGAAAATAAGTTATACACCAAATGAAAACGTTGATAATAGTTCTTAAAAAAATATTTAAAAAAATCTCGCACATTTGATAACTCCGTAAAAAAACAATTCTTAGTCGGTTTTTCACGAACTTTCTACGGATATAACTAGGTTACGGTTGGACGAATGAAGCTGATTTTTTTTACAGACTAATGATAGGTACAGCCAATGACTATGAGAGTGTTTCTTTTTTAAATTTTTTCTCTAATTATAAGATATCTTATAATGTTAAGATAATAAGATAATCTTGTAATTAGAGAAAAAATTTAAAAACGAAACACCGTTAAGTCATTAGTAGTACCTATCATCAGTCTGTAAAAAAAATCAGTGTTATTTTCTTTTCGTGTTGATGTTTTTGGCGAAGAAGACCCAGGTTCCAATCAGGTGATATTTGGGCGAACCCTTGAGCTTCACCCCAGTTTACTTTGGATGCAGTGAATCGCGTTAGGATACGTTGTGTTTTCTCGAGGATACATAATTCAAAGTGCTGCCCTAGTCCTCAACGCGCAGAATTTCGGGATCGGCCCCAGGTGGAATTTCCTACTAGTGCCGTAAGGTCATTTGTCGAAGGAGCGCTGCGTTTCGGAGAGATATTTGCCCCAAGAAGAGCTGGTGAAATAATACTTTGAACCATCGCGGTTTACCGTCGGATAGTGATCATAAAAGTTTGTGTTCTGCCGTACCGCTAACTCAAAAATCTGTATTCCGCAGGCGGTCAAAGCTAATAAACTGATGAAATAAAATTAAATACCCTGTGCTGTGTAGAAACTTTGGCAACTAGCCGTCTCCCACTCGCCACGCGAAGGATTTCCTGGACTAAGTTTCCGTTCAAACGCTAAACTTTGCTTTCGTTCCGAGGAAGGATAGGCACCGTGGATTTTTGTTTCCGTGTGTTAAATTCAAGCCACCCCTAGGAAGTCACAGAGACCTAAGTGTCAGGTTTCATCACATCCACCCTGTACCAGAGGAAAGAGCAGTTCACAAGATCGGCTGTACAAATGTTGTAAAGGTTAGTCTAATTAAATTTGTAATATTCTGTAAAATTCCACTTTTTATACCCAATGAAGAAAGTGAACACTAGAATGATCTCGAAGAAGATTTTGGACGATTTGGTACCAGATGTGGGGAAGCCTAAAATGATTTTATCGGACCACGGGAGTCAATTTACTGCCAAGAATTGGTCGAAAGAATTAAGCAGCAAAGGAATTGAAGTCAAAATGACATCTGTATACCATCCTCAGTCGAACCCAGTAGAACGAGTTATGAGAGAATTAGGAAGATTTTTTAGAGCCTACTGTCATGAGAATCATGGAAATTGGGCAGGTTG